TTTGCGGATACAGACTAACACGGCTGCTAGTCTGAAAACTTACAGTAAATTAACACTCTTAGAGGTTGTGCCCTTTGGCTGTGGCGCTGAGAGCTGGCCAGCTATCAATTCTAATAGTTCAGGGAATGGCTAGTCATCAGTGTACAGAACCCTATTACGTTTGGGCAAAATCAATAAACCATACTGGGGGAAGGGGAAAAATGGGGGACATGGTCATGTCTTTAGCACAGCCGCAGCCTCTAGCATTTTTGCAATTGTCTATAGATCAAAGAACTGGTTGGTGGCATGGCACCATTAACACCTCTCAGCATAATACCCCTAAGTTCTGCCCATCCTCCCAATGGAATTCAGCATGCTGATCTCTGCGTGACTCATGGCCCAGACAGAACGGGTTGTGAACAAGGCCTTATGACAAGGGACATCCCTTATTTTTTCATCTCTGTACAAGATCAGGAGTTGCTGAGTGCTGGAAAAAAAGCAGCAAGAAATAACCCTGGTGAATGCGGTTGAGTGCCGATTATTGTTGTTGTTTAGTAGAAATAATATAATATACCTATATCTCATAGAGCTGGAAGGGACCCCGAAGGGTTATCGAGTCCAGCCCCCTGCCTTCACTAGCAGGACCAATAATGACAATATTGGGAGGAGGGCTGGGGCAGTGGTGCTAACAGTCCCTTATTTTTGAAATACAATTTTGGCAACCCTAGACAGAAGAGACATAATGATGGTTGGAGGGGAGTGTGAAGTGGACAATGGAGGGAAGGACGTGTGCACACAGCTTCTGGCCTGGGAGGAACATGGGAGACTTTTGTATGGGGCACGGGGGGAAATGGGGTGCAGACCAAGCCCCTGCCATAGAGGGGAGAATGTGGGAAACCTGAGCAGCACTGTGACCCTGCAAGTCACAACACCTAGAGTGGGGAGCCGAGCCCAGCCAGCCCCATGGGACAGGAGGCGCAGATGCTGCTGCTGTGATATGTATGGTGTACCGGTACTAGTTACACTAATGTGTATATTCTTGAAGAAGCTTATGACGAAGACTAAGATCTTGATTTATAAAGCCTGCATAGTCAGCACCCTCCTTTACGGCAGTGAGACATGGATCTCATATAGCAGGCAAGAAAAGAGACTCACTAGCTGCCATCTGTGGTTCCTGAGATCCATTCTAGACATCACCTGGCAAGGTAAAATTACTAATGAAGACGTGCTAATGAGGGCACAAATCTCCAGCCTGAGAGCTGTTATCAAGCACAACCATCTTCGTTGGTTAGGTCATGTGCATAGGATGCAAGACGGAAGACTTCCTAAAGACATCTTATAATATGGTGAGTTAAAGGCGGGTTAAAGACGGAGAGGACGCCCAAAACTTAGGTTTTGAGACACCTGCAAAAGAGACCTAAAATGCTTTGGTATTGAGCCACAGACTTAGGAAGCCCAAGTGAAAGGTCGTTCAAGTTGGCAATCCAGTCTGGAGACAGGCATCGCAGAACATGTTAAGCGGTGGCTCTCTATACTCAAAACAAAAAGACAGAGTAAAAAACGAGTGACTAGCCATGGACAACAGGAAAACACCTTTTGTTCCACTCGATGTGATAACATCTGTTTGTCCAGAATTGGTTTTTATAGTTATCAAAAAAGCTGCAGCACCAACTGTGACCTCACATCCACAATAACAAATGTCTGTGAAGGTGAATGGGGCCAATACTAATGTGTATATTATATGTTGTGGGTAAGATATTTAGTAAGGCGTGTGGCTTTTGCACTAATGCCATTTACTGTGTTGTGACAGGCCATTGAGGTTTACAAATGTGTCCTGACCCTGGAAAGGTTACGAACCACTGGCCTTGTCAACCCAAAGCCTGAGGGGGCTGATGCAAAGACTCGCCGTATAGCATGGTCAAATATGCACCACTCTAAGTGGGATAGAACCATGTTACTAAATAATTGACAGTTGAAATTTGTTAGTATTGTCTTCACCTTTGCAGTATTTTGCTCTGTTTCTTCATGGGGTGTGGTCCTTAACTGACAGATTTAAAACTATTCCTGGTATTATGTGAGGACTGAGGAGGAAGACAAATGCCCATTCAAGGATGCTGCACCGGTTCCACAGGACAGCAGGTGGCCATGATTATTTCTTGCACTATATGCTGAAGATAATTCACTAAACCCTGACTCTTCCAGATCACCCACAACGTCCCTGCTGCCATTGGGTCGCTGCAGGGCTTGGAGCAGCTGGGATCCTCATCCTGGTGGGAGCTGTGATAGCGATAAGTGTTTGGGGTAAGCAGTTCAAAATTAATTTGTTCAAAATGCAGCACCCTGAAATGTCCCCTTCCCGCACATTTCTGATTCCAACGCTTTTGTGAATAATATCCTGGACTTTTCATTATCATCACAAAGGGAACAATATCACATGAAGGAGGTAGTGTTAGAACTTGATATGTGAGCCCTATGTGATCCAGCTCTCACAACGTCACTGTTCAGTGTGCACAGGGAAAAGTGGAAGGCACCTTACAATGTGTAATAAATGAGATTTTTCTCTCTTTCTCTGTCATGCTCTCTCTCTCTCTGTCCCAGTTCTGAATTTGATAGCTACAGTATGTAACGGTTTATTACACACACCCTCATTCTCAGTTTGATAATCCCTAAGTGGTAGTTGCCGCTCTCACTCATCCTCTTCTGAAGTTTCTCAGCTCAAAGGATGTCTGAACACACTGGAGAACAACAGTACTGGGGAGAGAATCATCCATCAATCCAACTGCAGCACTGGCCTAAAAGATTTCCATTTCCACTTGAAACAATTTGTGTGTGAATCATCTCACAGCAACTCAGCAGGTAACCTCAGCTCCTTCTCTCAGCAGCTTCCTGTATTGTAGTGCCATCTAGTGGTCAGCTCGGGTAACCCAGTGCAGGACACAAACCACTTCAATAACTATTTATAGGGCAGCTGGTAGCGACTCCTATGTTTAGGGTCCCTAACGCTTCCATTGTAAAAGGGTCTTGTGGTATCTGTGAGGAGCTCTCACACTTCCCTTGTTCGAAGCAGGCCTTTGAAATAGGAGGGCGAGGGGAGCCCTCAGGCTGGAGAAATGTTTTCTTTGGCCCATGAAATTTCGTCCGGGTTTTGCTGAGATGGGAACACTGGAAGAGCCGCCATTTCCCACCTTGCGTGTGAGCCTCAGGGAAACTCTGTAGCATGACAAAATAACAGTCAAAAGTGCTGGGCTCACCTGCTACAGCAGCACACCCGGCGCTGGGAGCTACCAGAGCAGGTGGAGATGAATGTGAGGAGGGGTGAGAGCTGGGCCAGGCTCCCCCTCACCCAGCACATGGTCTATCAACCTCTTGCTCCCAGGAACACCACATGGAGCAGAAGCTCCTCCTGGGGGGACAGAGAGCTGGCTGGGCTCCCTTTGACCACCCAGGCCTATTCCCTGCCCCCATCCCTCAGGATAACAGACTTCCTGTAACCAGCGAGCAGAGTTACTCCTGTTGCTGGAGCGGTAGCACTGTGGTGTGGTATTGAAGATCCAGGGTCCAAACGCTGCTGCTGATTCAGGATGGTGGAGTTGTTCCAGTTACAGAATTGCTTTGTATGTTTTTTTAAAAACTAGGAAATTAAACACAATACTGGATTAAGAGAACACAAAGATTACAAAGACAAGCTTCTGAAAGTTAGGAAATGCCAGATTACCTGCACAACTTTAATTCAGTTACCCGCACAACCTTAATTCAGCCCCCAGTTGTGTGTACCTTATGATACAGTCTTTATTGCATGATTATCTACTATTTTTATCTCGGGGCTGATGCCTCATTCAGTGCGCAGGCCTATTTGGTTCCATGTCCATGATGGCTCCCCAAGCATTCAATGTGCTGGATGACCTCACAGTCAGGCTGAATTATAGTTGCATGGGTAACCATGAATGTGGCATTTCCAATTTTGATTTGCAACTTAAATAAAGTTCTTTTAACTCCTTTATATGTAGTATTATCTACCCCAACTGGCATGCAGCCATCTCTAAGGGGAAATGTAATGGCTGTTAACCAGTGCACAGGAACACTACACTAAAGGGGAGGAAGTGAAGGAGAATTCCAGTTGAGTCTGACCTGCATTACCCCGTGCTATTTCAGGACTGAGGTACTCACAGTTTCACCAATACCACCCCCCACCCACCCCCCGCCCCGGCCTGCAGCACCTGCGGCAAGTGGAATGTTGGACCTGTCCTCAAACAAAGACAAGGCAATAGCTTTACTGGAATTGGGGAGGCTGGAGGCCTGTGCATGAGTGTGATGCAGTTCAGAACCTTCAGCTCCATTAAGTGTTTCCATTTCCCCTCCAGAGGGATCAGGGTGTAAGCTTTGCCCCCCAAACTGGCTACTGCACAGGGACAAGTGCTACTGGGTGTCAAAAGAAAAATATCCTTGGAATGAGAGCTGCAATGACTGTTCAAGGAGGAGCTCTCGGCTGCTGGTGCTCCGGGACCAGGATGAGATGGTAAATAAAACTTGTCCTGGGGATATGAGCATCACTAGTAATAATTAATACACAAACCAGTGTGTCAAGGTTGCTCTATATCAGGGGTGGCTAAACTTACTGACCCTCCGAGCCCCATACAACAATCTTCAGAAGTTCTAGAGCTGGGGTGCTCCTGCCGGGACTAAGGCTTCATCCCTGCAAGGGTGGGGGGTCTCAGGGCTTCAGCCCCACAGGAGGAACCTGACAAGGCTCAGGGCTTTGGCCCTGTGGGAGGCATCTGCCAGGGCTTGGGGCTTTGGCCCAGCAGGGGCAGGGGTCTCAGGGCTTCAGCCCCACGGGAGGCACCTGCCCAGGCTCAAGGCTTCAGCCCTGCTCCTGGAGGCGCACCCTGAAGGACTATAGCCCTGAGACCCCCCTCCACACTGGGCAGGAAGCCAGAGCTGATGCATGAGGGGGCACATGCCCCCCGATTTTCCCCAGGGTTTGCTGGTCCCGCTCGGTCACATGGTGCCACTGGGCCCAACTCCCTGCACTGGGAGCTGCGGCTGTGGGGAGAGGCAGTGACAAACAGCTGGGAGCTCCTCACTGTAGTTCCCAGCTGTTTGGCGTTGCCTCTCCATGCGGAGCTAACACCTGGGAGATGCAGGATGGGGGCGCTGAGGGTAAGAGGGGGGACAGCTGGGGGGGCTTGACAGACAGTTGGGAGAGGGAACCCCCCTACTCTCAGCAAGCACCAGTCGCCTGTAGCAGGAGCTCCTCCTTGCCCCACCACCCCACTGCAGGGCAGAAGCCCTGAGCTCCCCCCCAAGTCTGGTAGGCAGAGAATGGGGGTGGGAGGGGGCTCTGGGAGCCGCACTTTCACTGTAAAGAGATGCCTGTGGCTCATGAGCCACGGTTTGGCCACCCCTGCTCTACACATACCCACACATGCTAAAAAACAAGGAAATGAAAAGTTCAGGCCAGCAACAGCACATAACCTGTGCCCTGCCCCCCAGCGGTGACACCTCACCGATAGCATGACCCCCACACACCACAAAGACTGTACCAAGGCCTTAATTCTGCCCCAGTCAGGACAGAAACTAAACAACTGGCCCACGGTCACAGAGGGAGTCTGGGGAATTGAACTCCGTTCCTAAAGTCTCTAGCTAGCACCTTAACCACTAGCCCCTTCTTCCCCGTCACTTCATTCTTCCCTGTCAATTTACAGACTTTCATACAAACTACTTCCAAAGACACAAACCACATCTGGCTTGGACTCATTTTTACATCCCGTGCGAGGAAATGGACTTGGGTGGACGGCTCCCTGTACAATCAAACACTGTGAGTATTTTTATCCCATGAGTCCAAGTAAGATGTGCAGCAGGGGACACAGGGCTGTTGCTTTCCAGCATTGGTGTAAACAGAGGCGCCATATGGGCGCAAGAGATATTCAGTACTGGGCACGACCCTCTGCACAGAGAGAAATGAATCTAGTCCTGAGCCTCATTTGATGGCTCCCGCAGCAGTCGGGCTAATCCTGAGGGCTGAGTTTTGTAATATGGACAAGTGTTTTCAGAAATAGACCAAGGCCAACCAGTTGCTACGAAAGGGTCATATACTAGGAAGAGTTTTATCAATTAGGGGTCTGTAGGAAGAGTTCAGCAGTTAAGGAAGAAATTTGAAAGGTGTCCGAATGAAGAAAAGCTGCTAAAAATCTTGTTCAAAAATTCTAAACAGGGATTTATTTATTTTGTTTCCCAGGTTCAAGTTAGTGGATCCTGCTGAAGGGAAATGCGGGGTGATAAAAGCAGATGGGATTCAGTGTGAAACCTGCACTACAGTCTCTAAATGGATTTGTGAAAAAGATGCTCTCCTCATTAGCCAGTGACATTAATCTCCTGTATTTTCTAAGTATGAAGTAAATGTTCTTTAGTTTGTCACATGAATGATGAATATTGAAGGTGAGCTTCAAAGACAAAAATTAGGCTCATACCCCACCCGACACACCTTTTATAACGTGGATAAAGACAGCCTGAAAGGCTTTTCTTGCATTTGAAATTCAGATCCCGGCTAGGCTGGGAGATTAAGGTGAAGGGAGAACTAGTGAAATGACATCACAAATAGAGCTCGGAGACATTTTTCCACTGAATAGTTTATTTGCTGAAAAATGCAGTTTTGGAAGGAACAAGACTAGTCACAAACTGGTGTTGAATTCACTGAATAATTTCAGCCAAACTAAAATAGAATAATAATACTAAAACACTCCACGCTAGGTTCACAAGAGGACTGGAGGAGACAGCTGTTCACCCCACCCAGTAGGCAAGTGGTTACTGCACCAGGTTCGAATCCCTGCTCTGGAATAGTGCTAATAGATTAACCATGTACATCTAGACGTGGTTGTGCTATTTTAAGACTGTTTACTGTCAGCAATGGAATCCATTCCCAGGAAAGAGCTCAACATACCTTATAAACAGATATGAGTAAGGCAAGTATATTGCAGAACAAGGTTATACAGTTCAGACACCTTCAAGAACCTAAAGAGCTGCAGAGAAAGCACAGAACTCAAGCAGCAACAATCTACCCTCTTAAATTTGGCATAATGAGCATTTGTTTAATGAGCAGCCTGCACATTCCAGCACTGCACATTTTTGCACAGAAATTTCTTTATAAAAGACATGTAAGAAAATATTTTACATTAAAAAGTGCCTTATCCCTGAAGTGCAGCCTGCGGATGTGAGAATTGGCAGACAGTGACCAGGGGCAGCACAAAAGTCTGGGCAGGGAGGGGAAAGAGGCATCTCCTGGAGCAGGGGACAAGCATGTCAAGCTGGTTCTAGGCACGTGTCACATTTTCACAAGGAGGCTCCCAGGCACAAATTCAGAGGAGGGGTTTGCATGAAGACCCCCACACTCTGTAGCTCAGAGGGCAGCCCAGCTGCATTACTGGCTGTAAACATCAAAGGTGTACACAGCTTGGAAGTGGCAACACCACATGGAACCCGACAACCAAGGCCAAAGCCATCCCATGGCACCCAAGGGGCTGCAGGGAGGGCTGTCTGCAGAAATGTTACCCTAATTTGTCACAGTTTGTGGACACAGTAAGGAGCCATGAGAACCATGTCCCAGTCTGAAGGGTGCAAACCTCAGAAGTGCAAGAAATCATTAAAGGCACCAGGGAGCAACTGGAGCTAATGGGATGAATTGAGCAAGGGGGAAATTTAAAGACTGCTACTGAGGAGATGATTCCCAGCAACAAGGGAGTCTGAGAATCTGGGATATTGCAACCTCCTGCCCTGCAATCTCTGTCTGGGGACCATTGTGTTAAAATGTATGAATGGCGTCTCTCTGCTTGTGGTCTACTCCATGGGGGAGGGTGACCACAACGCCTCAAGAACTACGCACAGTACAGGTTGATTAAGGTGAATCCCTAACTCCAGAGAGGTACCACCCTGTGACAGTATGTACTCCTGTATCCACACTCTACACCCTATTGTAATAATCTTTATAGAAAATACAGCTTGTAAGGCATCATTTGAAAACTAATAACTTGCTGGTCAATAATATCATGGTGAAATGGATGTAGCAAGTTATATGTAAAGTTATAAATTCCCCCAAATGATGTTGGCACATGTTCAAATGCACATAGCCCCAGTTAGGCAGCATTGGTCAAGCAGGTCTGAAACAAAGGAGTGTGTTTTCTCCTCAGTTTACATAGAAGTTGTAAGACAGCCAGAGGAAGAAGACAGGAGACAAGGAAAATCTGAATTTCAGGAAACAGAGGTGAGAGGAAACAGCACAGAATTTTTCACCACCAGACATCATATCGCCTTCTTTACTGTGAATAAACTTTGCTTTGAGGGGTGACCTTCAGGAAACTGCATCTCAAAGGGGGACTGGACTATAAAAATGAGGGGCAAAAACATCCCACATTCCCTCTTCCTCTTCGCTTAAGATTACAAAAGAAAAAGCCATTGGATTTTGGGAGCAGATCCTGGCTTGAGAGTTTGGTCAGCAACTGGCTTAGGCAGCAACAAAACAATCTGTTAGACCCTCAAGTGAGTCACCCCCCTTCCCTTGAGCAGTTTGGGACTGCGATGAGGGAATGCTCACCTGACTCTGAAGTGGGGGGGCACAAAGCCCTGAGGGAAGAAAGGACACGATAAAAGGGAGAGACATTTTGCCATGCTCTCTCTCTTCCACCTACATGTACAGACACCACCAATCGACTGAAACGCTGATCAAAGGGGAGAGCCTGACTGAAAAGTAACCAGCCAGCCTGCAGTGAGAAGCATCTAAGTTTTAAGGAGATTGAAAGTGTTAAGAGCAGCTTAGAATGCGTTTTCCTTTTATTTCATTTGACCAAATCTGACTTGTTGTGCTTCGACTTATAATCACTTAAAATCCATCTTTATAGCTAATAAATCTGTTTGTTTATTTGACCTGAAGCAGTGCGTTTGGTTTGAAGTATGTCAGAGGCTCCCCTGGGGATAACAAGCTTGGTACATATCAATTTCTTAGTTAAATTGACAAACTTATATAAGCTTGCAGCATCCAGCAGGCATAACTGGACACTGCAAGACGGAGGTTCCTAGGGTTGTTTCTGGGACTGGAGATATTGGCTAGTGTCATTCGCTTGCAAGTAGCTTGGTGCAGTTTACATGCCAGAGGCTGTGTGTGAACAGCCCAGGAGTGGGGGTTCTCACAGCAAAGCAGGATAAGGCTGGTTCCCAGAGTCAAGGATTGCAGTGGCCTAGCAGATCACTGGTCCAGACAACACCAAAGGGGAAATATCACAACAAGTAAATAGGCTGCAGCATATATGGCCATGGAGGGGACCAGAAACAGGCGTTGCCATGTCTGATCTCCGCTCCCCTTGAGTTCACGAATCCCCTCCCACTACACGCTCCTCTTCCTTCATAGGGGTATCAGATTTACTGCAGATCCATTTTCTTGATGTGCTGCAGCTGGAGCTGATGACTTTGAGGTCTTCATCCAGGTACGCACAGTCGGCCCCTCCTTGTATTTGAAACCTGTAACCCAGAGACAATTGGAGCTAGAGAGTCAGTGTGTGCCAGGCACAGACCAGGGGAGACACCCCAGGTCAGGGAGGGGAGCTGATGCACTTACAGCCCCTCCAGATCCCCCCTTCCTGCACCAGCACCAGGCCCCGCTCCCGGCAGGAGGGGAAGTTAAAGCAGCCAGTGGGACATTTCCATCACCTCTGACCCAACACAAAGGAAAAAGAGACTCACCGACGGTCAAACTTGGTCCCGTTGGCCCATTTCCAGTCCTGGCCCATGTCCTTCCGGAGGCCGATCCAGTGGTCCAGTTTGCCCTTGTAGGGCAGCAGGGAACCCTTACAAATGCAATATAAGCAATCAGCTGTGTTAGCCCCTGACTCTGTGCTGCTCCAACACCCCACAGAGCCCTGGGCAGTGGGGGATTTCTACAGGCCTCTTCCATTGTTATTGGGTGAAGGGATCAGATAAGTATTAACCCTTCACCCTCTGAGGTCCTCTTTTTTGGGGCTGTGGCACCTCCGGGGTGAAGGAGGAATTGAGCTGCAAGGTCACTGTCCACCCAGCAGCCCCTTCTCAGAGCACAGCAGGGCCAGGAGGGAGAGGGAGCTGTAGGGGGAGGGCAGACAGACCCCTGCCACCAGGGCAGGACACTTGAGGGAAGCAGGCACAGAGCCGGCCTCATCTTCAGCAGGATTCCCCCGCCTCACCCATGAGGAAACGCTGGGCCTGTGCTGGGGAGGCAGGTTCTCACCCCCTCCAGCCCCAAGCAGCCCATTGGCCTGGAGCTGACTGAGCCGGCCCAGCCCTGCACAGGGGGAGTCTCCACCTGGGCTCTGGCAGATGCAGGGGCGAGGTGGCTGGAGCCCCAGGTCCAGCCAGGATTCAGCTGCCAGAACCGCACTGATTCTGGCCGCCCAGCCTGGGAAGCACCCGGGCTCCTCTCTGCCCTACAGGGGCTGAGCCCAGCCTGACGCCAGCCCTGTCTGTGGTGCCAGCGATCGCTGGGCTTGGCACAAAGCATCTATCCGGGCTTCTCACCAGCTCCTGCAGATTATCAATCCCAGCCAGGGAGGCAGCGTGTGACGAGCAGAAGCTCTGGCTGTAGGTCCAGTTCCCTGGAGCATTAGAAAAATAGTAACATTTCCCTTGGTTCCTGAACCAGCCGTCTGGGCACCAGCAGGCAGCAGTAGGGCAAGGAGGAGGCTGCCTAGATTTTTCCACTAAAAAAGAGAACACCCAGAGTGAGAGATCGTCCCTTCTCTCATCTCTCCGTGGAGAACAAGCAGGAACAGCAACGCAGGAACAGCAACGCAGGAACTGCCAGACTGGATCAGACTAGTGGGACACACAACTGATCTCTGAGAGCTGCTAGCACCAGCTGCTTCAGCGGGAGGGCAATGCACCCCCTAGTGGGCAGTGGTGGGATAGCCGGCCCCAGGGAACATTTTCCCCCAAATGCTGTCAGAGGCTGGCTAGGCCTCAAAGCAGGAAGATTTATATTCCTAGTCGTACCCTGATTCAGAGAGAGAATAGCCTGCCCGGAAGGGGGAGGAGGACACTTCTGTCTGTCAGTGGCTGGCTCCTGCCTTCCTCTACACTGAACCCTCTCCAGTATGTCTCTGCATGGTCCCAGTCCCCACACCAAGGGCCAGTCCTTTGATGAATCCAGCTGAGCTCTGGGCCTCGATAACATCCTGTGGCAGTGAGTTACCCTGGGCATGAAGCTGCTAGTTACATATTTAATGCAACAGGAGTCACAGAAAGAAGTTTAAGAGTGGTGCAGTAATTCTATCAATTCCACAGAATGGTCACACCAAACCCTGTTCATCTTTACCTGGACCCCCAGATCCCCCACACACCCAGACCCACACAGAATCCTTTCACCCTAAACCTGGATCCCCCACATTAGGCTGCTCCACACTTGAATCTTGACAGGCTGAGCCTTCTGTCCCCACCTGGTGCGCCTGACACAGAGGGGCAGGGCCCCAGGGTGTTTCTGGGGCAGGCCAGCCAGGGTAGGTTGCAGCCTCACCATTCAGTCCCTCTCCTGGGGTGGGGGGTTGCAGGGATCTCCCACCTCCATACAGCCAGGGGCCTGGGCTCTCCACAGCCAGGCTGGAGCCTCCACATTTATTGACAAATAACATTTGCAAAATTTTAAAACATTGTGCGCAGAATATTTAATTGGTTGGTGCAGCATTCCCTCAGGAGTACAAGCAGCAGGGAGAGGGTCACACAAAACCACTTTTAAGCCCCTCCCTGAAATGTAACCCCTTTGCTGCAAAGAAAGTTACCTACAAGTAATCACTGGAAATGTTTAAAATTCCTGAGTTGGGGGAAGGGCTTTGACTCAGATCTGTGCGGCTACAGAAGGCGTGAGCACATCTATGGAGCTGGGCAGCTGAGTCCAGGAGGCAGCGCAGGGTGAATACTGAGTGCGTCACTTCAGTTACTGATTTTGTGGGAGCAGGTACATTAGGCAGAGGCACAAGCAGAGAGGCTGCCAGACCTGCTGGGCTCTGCCAATGCCGCCTTGAAGACAAGGGGCACTCCGATCCATTCAGTTCTGACAGCCCCTCTGAGCGCGTTTCCCTCCTCACCCATCTCGTGTATCAAAGCAGCAGATCCCCTGGAATCTGCAGCCTGACCCCAGAGCTCACTACACTGGAGTGGGATGTGGGAGCAGTGAGCGCCTCTTATAATAACCCCGGCAAGCACCACTCGGACTCTGCTCCCAGCTGTTAGATCCTCCTGCACCCCACTGACCCCCTGCAGCAACGTGTGCGGCTGCACATTACAGAAAGGCTCACACTGAAGGGAACTCTTCTGTAATTGCACACACTGTCCCTGGGGAGCCTTCCCTTTGGAGATTACTGACCCACGGGGTTAAATTCTCAACTGCAGGGGTGGGAGCTTCCCCCCACAGCCATACAGCTCATCCCAGGGATGCTGTAGCCCGTCAGCCCTGCTGTGGGGACAACCAGGGGGAGGGAGGCAGGATGGCCAAGCCAGTAACCTCAGATCACCGAGCTGCAGACAAGTTACCCTGCTCAGTGAAGATCAGACAGGGGATCCCTGTCAGTCCATCAATCCAAACGCGTGTGAAGGGAGGGTCCCTGGGTACAAAAGGGAGCAACAGAGGGGGCTGGAAGCCAGAAAAGAGTGATTGTCTCGTGTTCACTGCCCTGGATGACAGGGATTCAGGAAATCCAATTCCCAGCTGTGCCAGACTCCCTGGCTGACCCAGGGTGAGTCACTTCAGCCCGGATCCACAAAGGGACTTCGCCATTTGACATCCAGCCTTGCAACGCCGAACTTTTATTATCCTAGGAAATCACTGGAACAACAACGGGATCTACCAGGCCTGAGCTGGGTGCCCGGGCGCCCCACGCAATGAACGGGGAGGGAGGGGCACCTAAGAACAGGATTCACAAGAGCTAGGATGCTAGATAGGGGCTGCCCAAGCCAGCCAGTAGAACACACTGACCGGGGCTGTGCCCCACGCCCCGCCCCTCTCAGAGCTCAGCACCTCAGCCCTGGCTGCAGGGAGGGGCCCAGCCCTGCTAACAACCTGCAGCGGGGACCCCCCGCCCTGGAGTCAGGCACCTACGTCACTTCTCGTGAGAGCGGGTGCAGCAGCAGGCGTCTAGAACCCCTGAAACTGGCTGGGGGGAGGGTGGGGAGAGAAGACGACCTCCCTGATAACCTTTAACTGGCAGGGCTCTCGCTCCTGATGTGGGAGACCCTGCTTCAGTCCCCCTCTCCCTGGTGAGCAGGGATTGGAGAACAGGAAGTTCCCACCTCTCAGGTGGGCGCCCTAAACACTAGATTATAGAGGGATTCTAACTCTCTGGCACAATAAATATTTAAGTATTCAATCAAAGTGGAACAACTTCAACAGGAAATCCACCTCTACCTCGATAGAACGCTGTCCTCGGGAGCCAAAAAAAATCTTACTGCATTATAGGTGAAACCGTGTTATATCGAACTTGCTTTGATCCGCCAGAGTGCGCAGCCCCTATCGCTGCTTTACCACGTTATATCCAAATTCGTGTTATATCAGGTAGCGTTATACGGGGTAGAGGTGTATTGAGAACACACACCCTTTCCACCCCCATCAGACTGTCCCACAGCTCAGAGGCTGGGCACTCCCCTGAGAGGTGGGAGACCCCTGTTCAGATCCTGTCTCCCCTCAGACAGAGGGGACTGGAACTAGGGGGTCTCACATCCCAGGAAAGGGCCCTACCACTGGGGCAGGGTTAATGGTGGTGGGTTTTCTTTGCCCCCACCTGTTTCACAGAGGCCGGCAGCCTAAGCACACCTGCTAGACCCCACACCATGGGTATGACAGGCTTCTGGGTGCTGAGGGCCAAGCAGCAGCACATGCCCAGAGGCAGAACATGAAGCTCTGAGGGAACTTCCACAGCAAAAGCATCGTCTCCAGGTGAGTTCAGGCGCCTCCAGGGTTCAATGGCAGCCGGGCAGGGGGTTGGCAGATCACAGGGTGCCTGAAACGGGGACTTCGGCGCCTTAGTGCCCTTTGTGGAACCAGCCTTGGTGCCCTGGCTCCCCCGTCACAGAGTGGGGATAAGGACACATCCCTGCCTCACAGGGGCTGGGAGGATAAATCCGTTCACGTCATGATGCTCTCAGTGATGGACACCATAAAAGAACCTAGAGAGAATCCTGTCTGACCTGACTGCTAAAGCCATGAGGCCAGAAGGAGAACACACAGAGCTGTGAGCCATTAAGGATAAAAAACCCCACACACCCAGAGACTGAACCATCGGGGGTTGGGAACTTACCTCCCAAAGCTGCTGCTAAAGCAATGATGATCAAAGCCATGACCACAAACACAACTAGTCCTTTACTTGTACATTTCCTGAAGCTGGAATTAGCTGGATCACCTGGAAATAAAAAAAATCTGTTAATGTTCCTGGGGCAACTAAGACCAGAATTATTTTCCATCAGGCTCTGATCGGACACACACTAGATTTTTATTTTGATTTCTAAAATGGTTCTGTCCCTGCTCTGGACACAAATATTAACTCGAACTCCCATTCAGACTGCGAAGGAGAACATCACTCCCCAAATCACCACTGTGTGGTTAATTAGCCCAGTTAATGCCCAGAAAGGACCCTGCAGAATTCAGAGGGATTCGGAGGAGGGTGGAGGATGATCAACGGCCTGGAGAAACTATGACAAGAGATTGACAAGCCTGGGAGGGTTTTGCCATGGAGAGGAGGTGACTGAGAAGGGACAGTATAAACAGTCTATGCAATACCGCTAGGACAGAAGGCAGACTGGGAGCTTTTGTTGGTAAAGGTGTGGGCAATCCCTGCACGCCCCCGTGTGGCCTGGTGTGGCACTGTGGGTGCATCCCACAATTTCCCTTGATTGGCAGCAGTAGTTTGCTTTAACAGCCCAGGGCAAAAAGATGCCAACACGAATTAAGAAAATAGCACCTCCTTTTCAATAAGGCTTCAGGACAGGATCAGTTTCAACAGACAGTTCATACAGTGCTCACCTCAGGACCCTGCGTCAGGGATCCCAGAGTTAATCTGTGAAACCAAGTCTCATTAGGTTGGTCTCCTAGAGCCTGAGAGAAATAACTACTGCTGCAGCCTGCCTGGCTTCTATTCCCCTCTCTCCTTCAGCTCCCTCTTCCTCTCTATACAGCCCAGGCCCATGGCGGGGCGGGGCAGGGCTGCCTTGATTACACCCCAGGCTGTCCCAGCTGTAGCCTCCTGCCTGGCCCTTAAAGGGGTAGTTCACTCCTTCCCAGTGATCTCTTTTCATAACATAAGAACAAGGGGACATTCAATGAGATGAAAAAGGTGGGACAGGAACTATTTTCCAGCCAACATATAATTAGACTGTGGAGCATGCAGGGGTGTATCAGGAAGGCCAAAGCACAATTGGAGTTGCAGCTAGCAAGGGATGTGAAAGGTAACAAGAAGGGTTTCTACAGGTATGTTAGCAACAAGAAAAAGGTAAGGGAAAGCGTGGGACCCTTACTGAATGGGAGAGGCAACATAGTGACAGACGATGTGGAAAAAGCTAGAGTACTCAATGCTTTTTCTGCCTCAGTCTTCAGAGACAAGGTCAGCTCCCAGACTGCTGCACTGGGCAACACAGTATGGGGAGAAGGTGAGCAGCCCTCAGTGGTGAAAGAACAGGTTAAGGACTATTTAGCAAAGCTGGACATGCACAAGTCCAT